ACCCAAATTGTTCAAAGGGGGCTGCTATTAGATTAACACAACAGAGGGCTTGGTTATTTCCTCTAGAAAGAAGAGAGACTTGACCGGATCCCTGTGGGATGGGACCAATAGTACAGCAGCAGTTTGAAATATTTTTAAGAACCAAAAACATGATAAGAAATTGGGGCAACTAAAGAAGGCCACAAGCCTTATTTCTGGGGCACAGCTAACTCAGGTACAGGCTGGAATTGGTGAGTTACATGTTATCTCCACCCTTAGTTCTATGACCCAGAAGTTGCTGATAGAGATGGTATTGAATATCACTGAGGCTGGGAAGGCATTGCAGTGGGATCTAGCCTGTTCAGGCTTGGCCCACTGCCCTTACAGACACATCAGGAGTACCATCTGGTCTGTGGCCATGGAGACATACTTGGAGACTTTCTGGCTGAAAGTGTGGACGTTCTCAATGCTCCTTCCAAGCACATGGACCAGTTAGGGGAGGTGTGGGCTCCCACATACCGAATCCTGCCGGGTCCATGGGGAGGATGCATGTGGGATTGGGTAATTCACCGAGACATCTGGTGTGTGTGGGGGAGAAGAGCCCAGGGCTGGGGAAGCAGGGGGGTGAAGGTGGGGGCCAGAGCTGGGGCAGCAGGAAGTGTGGGTGGGGGAGAGTCCAGGGCTGGGGCAACATGGGGATGTGGGGAAGCCCAGGGCTGGGGTGGGGGGCAGCAAAAAACCTGGAGCTGGCTCTGTCCCTACCATTCACAGCAAGCTGCCGCATGAGGTTTCAGTTCCACACTCCTTCCCCCTCCTTTTCCTATTAATTACAGCCAAGGGAATGCTGGGAAATGTAGTTCTTTCCCTGCTCCAGGGCTGGCTCTATAGGCAGGGAGCTAACCAAGGAACTACAGCGCCCAGGGCCCCCTGTTGGTTCTCAGCTCCCAGGCTGGATTCTTGCGCCTCTGCAAATTTGCCGCCCCAAGCAACTGCTTGCTTTGCTGGTGCCTAGAGCCGGCCCTGCGTGTAGGACAGGACGTAAGGAAGAATTGCGTCTCCTGTGTCCTGCTCTTGGGGAAGTTACAACTTCAGGACTAATTCCCTGAAATGCAAATCCGCCAGAACACAGTGATTAGGGATCGAACTCTAGAGAAATTGGCCCTGGATTTTTAATTGGAGTGAGCGGATGCAGGCTCCATTGACAGCAAATCCAACCAGTAGGAGCTTTGACTTTGACTCCCTCAGGGAACAGATGGGCAGGCTCCCCTGG